TGGGCAGTTAATGGTTGCTGGGGAAGGAAAAGACATTTTCTTCAGTGGTATAGCCACTGGTTAACCTTGGTAACCCAAAGTAAACTCATTAGTTCACAAAAATAAATGTATAATTTTAAGAGAGCTCAAGAGAAAGATCAAGAGACAGACAGACTAGGCTAAAGATGTAGTTCAGTTGGTAAAGTGCTGACCTAGCATGCATGAAGCCCTAGGTTTGATCCCCAGCACCACATAAACCAGGTAGAGTGGCACAACCTGAAAGAAATCCAAGCACTAGGAAGGTAGAAGAAAGTGGATCAGAAATTCAGGTCATCCTCTAATGCACAGAGTGTTTGAGGCCAGCCTATGTTCCATGAGACTATGTCTTAAAAAAGTAAGAAAGAAAATAGAAGCTGGTCATAGTGGCACAAACCTTCAGTCCCAGCACTGGAGAGGCAGAGGCAGGCAGATCTCTGTAAGTCCAAGGCCAGCCTAATCTACATAGTAAGTTCCAAGTCAGCTGGGGCTATAGGGAGACCCTGTCTCAAAACAAAAAAAGGAGAAAAGAGGAAGAGGAAGAAGAAAAAAATAATAATTATAATACACAGGTATAGTGACAGGTACCTATAACCCCAGTCCTGGGAGGGGGGAAGACAGAAATAGGAGGATCCCAGGGTTTGATGGCCAGGTTAGCCAAAATAAAACAGCAAGCTCTAGGTTCAGCTCTAGAGACCCTGTCTCTGAGAGCAAAGTGGAGAGTAATAAAGGAAATTGCTCAAGACGAATCTCTGGTCTCCACATGAATGTATACGTTCACACACATAAGCATACATCACACACACACACCCCACACACACACATACATTCTCTCTCTCTCTCTCTGAGATTAGAGAAAATAGTAAATTTTAAAGAGCATGTACTTCAAGAATGAATAAAATTTTTTAAGATATCAGCATAGGAGTTGGAGAGATGGCTCAGTAGTTAAGCACACTGACTGTTCTTGCATAAGACCTGGGTTCGAATCCCAGCACCCACATGGCAGCTAACAACTGTCCTTAACTCCAGTTCTAGGGGATCCAACAGTCTCTTCTGTCCTCTGTGGGCACTGCATGACATGCGTGCACTTATCTCCATGCAGGCAATACATGCATACACATAAAATATAAATAAATAAATAAATGTTTAAAAAATATGTCAGCACAATATTCATGAAAATTACTTTACCAGTTCATCAAAAATCATGTCACTTTAGGGAAAGCATCAACACCATGGACTGACTTTGAAAGGGTAACATCAGAACAGAACCAAAGAGAACTGTCCAAACCCAAGTGCTCCATTTATTTATTTATTTATTTTTACATTGAGCATGCATTTCCAAGTGCTCCATTTATAAAATATTTAGCCCACAATGTCGCCCAATTAAAGTATAATCCATAATGAAGACATTATTGCTGACAAGGGCGGCAGAATGGGATCTGGGTCACTCTCCTATAACTCAGTTCCTTTCAAATCAATAAAGGAAAGTCTGTGTTAGCAAAGAATTCAGCTGACAGTGGAAGTGCATAGGAATCATGATGTATTCCATTTCCCTCAGCTTATCCAAGTAGGAAAAAAAGTAGAGGTAAAAAACATTTAGTGGATGGATAATGGGGAAATTTCTCTAATGGTAACCTACATTGGTGTTTCCTCCTTTCTGAAGACTAACAGAGTCATCACTGCAAGTACTGAGTCAGTGGGCCACAAATACCTCAATACTTGGCAATACACAACTGTCCTTAACTCCAAGGTGCCAGGCTCTGGACACTAGGTGCCAGGCTCTATGATAAAGTCTTTTTCATTCCTAATCTCTTTGAATCCTCTGAACAACCCTATGTAGTTTAAGTGAAACTGGCTGGCAAAGCTTAAATAACTTGTCCATGGTTACAAAGCCAATGAGTAGTAAACTAGGATGTGAATTTAAGTAGTTAATCAACCTTCACCTAAAATCAAACTCAAGGGCTAGTGAGATGGCTCAGCAGACAAATAAGCTTGCTGCCGAACCCTGACAACCTTAGTTCAACCCGAGAACCACATAGGTGGAAGGAAAGAATTGACTCCTACAAGTTGTCCCCCAACCTCTACATACACATTCGTATATACATGCACACAAAACAAAAAATTAATTTAAAAAAGCCAACTCTCACCAGACATGGTGGTGTATGCCTTTAATTCCAGCACTCGGGAGACAGAGGCAGGTGGATCTCTGAGTTCAAGGCCAGCATGGTCTACATAGTGGGTTCCAGGCCAGCTAGAACTCTACAAGGAGACCCTTCCTTGAAAAGTCAAAAAAAAAACCAAACAAGCCAACTCAAAAAATTATTGACATGGCTGGGTATGATGGCACACATCTTTAATTCCAACACTCAGGAGGGAGAGGCAGGCAGATCTCTGAGAGTACAAAGCCAGCCTGGTTCATAGTGGGTTCCAGGTCAGCCAGGAATACATAGTAAGACTATGTCTCAAAAAAAAAAAAGTACTGACATTATACCACCCCTTTCCCAGTCATTCCTGATTTTCACATGCAGTCATCTCCCAGTTGGGACATATTTTTAACTTACTGTTTGCCCATCTCCTATCATGTGCCACCTTCTCATCAACAAACCAAGGATCCTCTAGTCATTCTGGATGCCCTCCCTGGCTTTTACTGATCAGAAGTCACCAAGGTTGGAGTGTCCCATCTGAAACTTTTTTTAATTTAAGGTTTTTTTTAATAGTTTTTCTTTTTTCTTTTTTCTTTTTTTTTAAGGGAGAAAGGTTTATTGTGGCTCACAGTTCAAGGTACAGTCCATCATGACAGGGAAGTCCTGGTGACAGGAACATGAGGCAGCTGGTCACATTGCTTCCACAGTCAGGAAGCAGAGAACAAGAGAGCGAGAGAGCAAGAGAACAAGAGAGCGAGAGCGAGAGCAAGAGAGAGAGAGAGAGTTTTTCTTTTTATTTTATGTGCATGAGTGTATTGCCCACATGTATGTAAGTGCACCTATGTTGTGCAGTGCCCATGGAGGTCAGAAGAGGGCACCAGATCCCATGAAACTGAAGTTAATGAACAGTTGTGAACCACCATATGGGTTCTGGATTCAAACCCAGGTCTTCTGCAAGAACAACCAGTGCTCTTAACCACTGAGCCATCTCTCCAGTCCCTGAAACTATTTTTAATCATGTATATCTGTGTCTCTGAGTGTATGGGTTTGTATAGAAATGGAATGCCCATAGAGGCCAGAAGAGGGAGTCAAATCCCCTGGAACTAGGGTTACAGGCAGTTAGTTATAAGCCTCCTGACATGGGTGCTGGGAATCAAACTCAGGTCTCCACAAAAACAAAAAGGCTGAGCCATCTATCTAGTGTACCCTCCCAACACTCAATCCTCACTTTCATATGCTGATTGTTCTGAAGTGGACTGGGACAAGATCATCAAGGTGGAGCCCCTGCTTGAAGGGACAGAGAAACCTGAGCTGAGCATTCTGTATGTCTCCCTGTGATACCCTCTGCCATGCTCTGACACAGCAAAAAGCTTTGATCAGAAACTGGTGGCATGCTCTTAGACTTCCCAACTTTTTTTTGTGAGCAAAAAACGTTTATTCTTCCTAAGTATGTTACTCTGATACCCTGACTCAAGTATTTTTTTATAGCAACAGGTAATGAACTAAGGCAAAAGCTTCTACATGAAAATCAGAAGAGGCCATCTGAAAAGAATATTGTCCTTGTAAAAGGCTCCTTCCCCTCCCCGCACTGTTCCTTATCTCTAACATTTATTCACAGTCTACTAAGTGCTCTTCAGATAACAGTTCTTACTAATAATAATACTAAAGACAAGCAAGAAGTGGTGGCTCATTCCTTCAGTCCCAACACTGAGTTCAAGGCCAGTCTGGTCTACATAGTGAGTTCCAGGCCAGCTGGGGCTACAGGGAGACCCTATCTCAAAAAGAAAGACAACCAGGTGTGGTAGCACATGCCTTTAATCCCAGCACTCGGGAGGCAGAGGCAGGCGGATCTCTGTGAGTTCAAGGCCAGCCTGGTCTACATAGTGAGTTCCAGGACAGCTGGGGCTACAGGGAAACCCTGTCTCAAAAAGACCAAAAAAAAAGTCTGAGCACAGGCCAAGGGAGCAAGCCAGTAAGCAGCATAGCTTCATAGTCTGTGCTCCAGGTTCCTGCCTTGGCTTCCCTTGATGACGGACTGTGCTGGAAGCCAAATAAACCCTTTCCTCCCCATTTTGGTCAGTGTTTTTTTCTTTTAAATATTTTATTATTATGTGTGTATTGCCTGCATGTAGGTAAGTGCACCTGTGTAGTGCAATGCCTGAGGAGGACAGAAGAGGCTGTCGATCCCCTGGAACTGGAGTTAGGGACAGTTGTTAGCTGCCATGTGGTCAGTGTTTTATCACAGCAATAGAAAGCTAAGACACAAGGGAGCCAATACCTTCTTCTGGCCTTGTGGGCATTACACAACACAGGGGCACTTACATACATACACACAAAACACTCATACACATAAAAAAGATATATTTTTTGCCAGGCATGGTGGCGCACACCTTTAGTCCCAGCACTCGGGAGGCAGAAGCAGGTGGATCTCTGTGAGTTCAAG